AAACATTTCTGTTCTCCAGGAACAGAACGTGGGGCTGTTGGTTGTGTTTTTATGCATCTGGTAATGTTAACTAACAGCTATTTTATTATGTAAGCACCTCAGGAACTGAATTAGGTTACAGCACAATGAATTGAGCTGCTTATCCAAGAAGAATAAGATGAGGAGAAGGAGTTATTTTATTTTATTTCATTTCAGAAGACAGTAACTCTGAGCTAGGACATTCTCTATGTAACAGCATCACATCATTGAGTGATCTAAATGTGGAGCCTGTTTTAAGGAAGAAAAGTTGTATGGGCACAGGACCAGCAGCAAATTACAGTGAAGTAAGGAAAAAACCCAGCAAAAGTTAAAAACTTATGTAAAATAAAAGTAAAGTGAGAAGGAAACCAGCACAGAAAGCCCAAAAATACACATCTGTGGCTGGGCTTTCAACTGCCAAATGCTGTAATGGCAACATTGATCAGAGCAAACCCACTGCAGCATCAAAACATACACCAAACATTCTTTGTCAAATGGTGACAGAAGAATTCTGGAAGATTGAAAGTGTTTTGATTCAAGAATAAAGGAAGGAAAATGCAGCTATGTCAGCATTTTTCCCTCTAGCTTGTATCTGTCAACTCAAACTTATTTTGGATCAGAAGAGTTTTTTCCATCAATTTTCTAGAGTTTTCTCTTTGATTTCTGGAACAGTTTAAGTCACGTTACCCATAACAATGCTAAAAACCCCATACTTAGGAACTGCTGTCCCATCTCCTGATGTCCTCCATGCAAGCCAGGAAAAACAGCCCTAACATCCTTGTGGTCAGAGAAATGACATCACAGGTATGCAAAACTTGAAAGGGAAAGAGGTGGAAGGGATAATTTTAGGGGATGATGAGGTAACCATACTAATTTACAAACTTTGGACTAAATCCTTCCATCCATAGGAATTATAAAGGACTTTTAAAAGTAAGGACTACTACTAATAAAGGACTGATTATAAAGGACTTTTCTGCTAAGCTTCACAAGTTCTTACTGGAGAGTTCTCAAGTAATCTTGAAATAAATGGAAAAGAGCTGCTTAAATGGGTGAGGAAAAGTCAGATTTGGGCACAGCCCTGGGGCCCTGGGAAACCACAGGACCATGATACCCCCACAGGAGAGGTGGAATGGAAACAGGAGGGACAGCAGGGAAGGAAAGGACAGGGCTCTAAACTCCAGGTAGTTCAGAACTATAGCAAAGAAAAACACATTTCACTTCAAGGTACGTTGGTTGTAAGTAAGAATGGACTGAGGCAATCAAAAATGTTGGAAAGAAAAAGAGATTTTGCATGAAAAAAAAAAGTGAGAGAGAAGTGAGAAAATTCTTGTGTACACTTCATAAAAGCTAACCTCTTTATATGTCAAGTACTCTCACCATGCTGTTTACCAAGATAAAATACCTCGAATTTTTGCATTGAAATAAATTTTCTATAGGTTGACCTACTAAACTTTAAATGTACATACTGGAGAATCATTTCCATCCTATGTGGGATCTGTGTTTGTATTTATCAGTGGCAGGCTGTACACGTGCATGGAATTTCAGATTCCACAGTGCTGCAGAGGGCTACAGGCTTCCCTGGTTTACAGGGAGTATAAAAAAGTGATTAGACACAAGAATTACAATTTAAATAGAATACAATTCAAATGCAATACAATTCCTTTTGTGTCCAGACTTGAAATAAAAGGAATAAAAGTATATTAAAAAAAAAAAAAAAAAGAACAAAACATGGAATATATTTGGGAAAGAGAATTAGAAATAAAATTTTAAAAAATTTTAAAAGCTCCCAGTGAATTTGATGCATATTAATTTTAAAAGTCTTGCCTTCTTTATCCCACATTTTTCTGTCATGGTTTGTTTATTTTCCAGGTGCCAGATATGCAGATTTGCACACCAGTGGTACTATCTGGTTTTGATGTATTTTATCCTCCATACTGCCAAAGGCCAATGATTTGCAGCTGGGTATGAAAATAAAATTTGAGTCAGCCTCAAACGTGGCCGTGAGGAAGGGGAGCAATGAGCTGTGCACTTGTTTACCCAAGAAAGATAAGAAAAACGACTTTGATTTGACAGAGTGCTGGAGCCTGATACCAGTGTGCTCAGGAAAGAATGCACTCCCTGTGAGTATTTTAAAGTCAGAATTTCAGACACATGACTCGGTGACTCAAACATGAGCAACAGCACAATGTTTAATTACTCAGTCTGGCACTCATCCTTCTCATGCTACCACTGATGCTCTTTCACTCAGGAACCACAAAATTGCTTCACAAATATCACCCGAAGCTGTCTCCTGTATGGATAAACTCAGGAGAGTTTTCTGCACACTGGTGCCCTGAATTAAGCAACTGAATCAAGGATAACAAAGATGAGTGAGAGGAAGCAAAATAAAGATGGAGAACAGCACCAAAGAGCAGGCACACTGAGGAGAGGATGCACAAAGAGCAGGCAGTGGAGTCTGGCAGGATGGTGTTTCCACATTATGTCACACTGGGACACGACATGGAATCATGAGGTAAACTTTGAAATGAGAGCAGGCTGAATTTTCCAACTTTTCACACTACATGCCTCTATAAAAAATATTATTATGCATTTTATAATTGTTGTGAAGCACAATTGGGAGGGTTTTTATGCTGTGCTTATCATGGCACATTGTAATGCCACTTTGGCACTATTATCACACCCTATTATCCATGACACACATAAGTTAGGATTATGCAAAAAATAAAATATTCATGACTTTTAGTCGATTCTTGATTAGTAAGATGGTTGTGCTGTGTATAATAATAGAAAAAATATTTATTCTGAGGAGTCATTATCCAATACTTGCATAGCTCTAATCTAAATTCCAAGAAGGACAATCCACTATAGAAAATCTGAAATCAACCACAGTTAAAGGATATTGAGAATTTTGCCTTCTTGTGAAGCCTAGATCATATTTTTAAGTGGAATAAAAAAGTAGGACACCATGTCAAAATATAATAAAAAAATATTGTTTAAAAAGCCAAAAATCAAACACTACCTGTAAAGTAAAGGGTTAGGGGAACCTCTGCAGACCATTTGAAAGGAAAAATACCAAGATTTATTCTTTTTGATGTTACTGAAAGGTGAGAACTGCCATAGAGAAAAGGTAAGAACTGACTGGAAAAACATATGGAGGATGTTGCAAAAACATTCACAGGCACGTCTGTGAAAGCATATGCCTTAGAAAGCAGCTGAAGTTGTTCACACTCAGATTTTCGTGAAGTTTCTTGGGACTGTATAAAATTAGGAATTGTGCTCGGGGCAGCACACTTTAATTAGCATTAATTGTGATGTAATATTCAAGATGATGTATTGAGACTTTGGAGCAGGAGATCCTCTCTCCTTTTTTTCTGTGAACAAAACACAAACCTGCTCTATGCCAAAGCCTCCCAGGCAGCCCCAGCAGCCAGTTCCAGGTGGCACTGTTCACTTTGGGAACAGAAACATCAGACACAGGTGTTGCTTTAGGACTGAAGTTGGAGTGAAAAAATAAATGGCTTGTTTCAGATCGAGAACACAGCAGAACAATGGAAAAGTTTCCATTTTAAAGGCTTAATTTGGAGTGAATGGAAAGAAGGCAGCAAGGGAAAAAGTGCTATCCACAGCTGCTACAGGGCAAACAGCACCAAAGCCAAATCCTGGGAACTTCAGGACAAGACCATAAATAAGGAATTTATTTAAGCCATTAATTGAAGCCATTGCTGTGACTTTCTCCATGACACAGACCAAAAAAAGCCCAACCTGCAGTTCCTGTGCAGAGCCTGCAACCCTGGCTCAGGGTTAAAATATATTCCAGTGATGGAAAATCTGATGCTCAGGTAAGCTGCTCTCAAGGTTGCTAAAGTCTTTTCCCAAACCATTTCCTTGGCATGAATTTCTTTAGCTTCCATGCTAGGAGGGATTTCATACTTTGATACTTTGGTGTTGGCTTTCTTTTTTCATTTGTTTGTTGGGTTGTGGTTTTTTTCCTAGATTAAAGAGGGATCAGCTATCAGAAATCTTTTCACTATTTAAGCTGAGTTCACCTCCTAACCTCATTTTTTTTTCCTTTTTTTGCAGAGGGAAAAGGGATAAAGTGAATAGCTTAAATCCTAAGCTGCTTAAGAGTTTCTAAGCCCCTTTAGGGTAGGGGATGTTTTCTAAAAATCTTTTGCCGGTTTGTTGCTTTGTTTTGTTTTTTTTAACTAACCTTCAAGTTTTCACTTACCTTCTGAAACAGAGGTGACAAAATCAGGCACAGTGCTTCACTCACTGCTTCCAGGAAATAGGAAACAGGACTATTTTTCTGTATAGTCTTGCAGTAAACTAATTGCCCTGCTTCTCCATGGATTTAATTTCCTGTCAGCTCAGATCCCTTTTACTGTGTTCTCATCTTTACTCACTCCTTGTAGGTCTCACTCATTTGGGCTTGGATAATGAGCATGAACTTTGGGCCGAGTGTAGATAAATTATCCAGGAACCACCACCCCTGCTCTGACACCTCCCCTGAAGGGCCACCAGGAAATTCAAGAGCACCCTGAAAAAGGAGTTTTCTCCTCTTTTCTGCTCAGTGCTGGAAAACCCAGAGTCAGGATCCTGGGAAGCAAAGGACAGGATGCCAAAAAATGCTGCAGTTACATGCAGAGCAGTATAACATATTTGAGAGCACTGAATAAACATCACTGTCTGTGTGTGGGAGGCACAAACTCCATGGGATAGTCCTGCTGCCACTGTAGCCAACCAAAGCCTGTTAAAAATGAAGGGATGCTAAAGAGGAAAGAAAGAGAGAAGCAGATGTGGGGGGAAAAAAATCGTAAAACAACAACAAAACAATGAAACAAAACAACCACACACCACCATTAAAAAAATTAAAAAAAATTAAAAGGTTGAAAAACTCATCAAACTCATCTATCAACAAATGTTTAGGTTATTTATTTACCCAACACAAGGCTCTTGAGACAGACAATGCCCTACTTACTTACACATTCAGAGGTTGCCAGGCTGGCCACTGTGCCTTGGCCTTGATGACTGTCAGAACCTCATCACTCTGTGAAAAGAGACAAAGGACATTTTTACCATGAGAGAAATAGGTTTTACAGCAGAAAAAAAAGTGCAAAGCAGGAGATCAAACTGTGGCCACGAGCTTTAAACACCAGCAGCAGTTTGCAGATGATGGTGGATTGGCATCATGAGCTGAGGGAAAGCTTCCACCAGGAATTCTCCAGCTTGATACAAAGCAAGGATAGAAAAATTGCTCTTAATACATGAAAGATCTACAGCTAAAAACCAAAGGCTGCTGCTCTGGGCAGCCTAGCACACACTGTGAGTGTGTATAATCTGTTATTTATTATCCTTGTGTATGGAAGGCTCCAAAGGCTCCATGGTGGATGCACTGCACTGGCAGCACATTCTCTTTGCTCTCCATTTCTGCATGTGAAAATCAAAGGGTGAAATGCAGCAGCCATCTGGGGAAGCCCACAAAGCACTGCACAAAGATTATTTCCTAAAGTCTGTTGTAATCCTTGCATCAGCACTTTTAACTTTATATTGCTCCAATAAACTTGGGACAAAGGCAGGAGACCATTAACAAGGCTCAGATGCCCAAAAGACATTTATCACACTTCTTTAGAAGCATTTTCCCCATCTCCCTTAGGATTGCACACCAGTAATTCACCTGGAGGGACACAAAGTTCACAATTCACTCCCCTGATTTCGACTGTCTTTTAAAATATTTCCCAATTAGACCAAGAAACCCACTTGCTGTATTAGCAGTAATTGGCACTTCCAGCAGAGCTGACCTTTCAGTTTAGTGAGAACATTGCCATTTCTTGCAATAGTTCTGACACCCCAGACTGGCCCTAGTCCATGCACACCCCAGTTCAAAGAAAACAGATTCCACTGGTTGTTTCTGCCACTCTCAATATTTTCTGAGTCCCTCTTTTTACCAAAGCAAGAGCGTTAAGAGCCCTCTCTGTGACACAGGAGCTTTCAGCCTCAGGAATAGAAATGTGACATGACCTCTCCCTTAGCCCGAGTGGATGGAAAAGCCACTCTTTGGAAATCACTTTTATAAATGCAGACGCCTGGAAAAAATCCTGTACTACATGAAGTGTCCTGAGCAAAGATGGCAAGTAAGTATAAAGAAATTTTACCAAGCTCCCACGCTACTGATACAGGTGGAAAAAAGAGAATTTTGTGATGGCAGGGAGCAATGAAACAGCAGGCAGCTCCTCAGGGTGTCAGGCACACCCTGGGTGAGCCCAACACTCCCTGCCAGCCTGGTCTGTGCAGGAGAGATTCATCACATCCAGTGCTGGATTTTAGAAACCTGGGGTTTTTCAGTTTTTTGTGGTTTTTGGTAATGAACCTCTGGAGAACACTGCTTTTGACCTGAGGCTTTAGAGAAGACTTCCACATTTGAGTGATGGAGTTAAAATCACGGGTGTGTAGGTAAATAGAAGTGTGTGATTTCACATGGTGAAGGGTTTAAAATCTGAGATTTCTATAACATAGTAATAAGTATGAAGCAAAATGAAAGATTTTGGGTCTTTTTTTTTTGGTGTTCATCTTTTTTCTTCATGGTTTCAAGTAATAGTTTTTGGTTAGACAGTTAGGGTCACACTGAGGATCATGAGAAGTTAATTATTGAGTTAAAAGAATAAATAATATAAGCTTTATTTCTTTATTAGACTGTTTAGCTTTAAGAGACTTTATAACAGCTGGAATTGTTTTTATTCGGCTCACTTCTAGCAGGTGGCTAGAAGTGTTACTGAATGCTTTGTACTTTTTAATAAGATTTAATAAACAATTAAACTTAAACAAAAGAAAATCCGTTTCCTTGGTGTATTTTTTCATTTTAGTTTTAAGTGAAAACAAAAGAAACTAAACCAAACTATAAATTAAATAGTATAAAAACACTCATCACTGTTACAATCCAGGTTCATCCAGGGCAGCCTTCTTCTCACCTGCACCCTTTCAGAAGAGACAGTTTTGCACTCAAAGTGGTTTAAAAAGTAACTGATTAAATGAATTAAGTTAAAGGTTTGAAGTTAAAAGATATTGTCTGTCTCGGCAAACAACAAAATTGTCTTTAATTTTTAATTTTTCTTGTTTCAATATCCTAAAACTTTCCAGCCAGGCAAATCTTCTTGCCTTGAGAAGAGATTTGCATTCAGAATTATTAACTCTGCATTTTACATCCCAACGAAAGTCTGTCATGAGCATAGATGGGTACATTTATTAAAGTAATGCACTGCTTATCTAATAGCAGGCAGTAATTATGTCACTGCTATCAAAATCAGTCATGTCTGAAAGCATTTCAACACGTGCTATTCGAATTAAAAATTAACACCAGGAGTAGACAAGCAATGACTGCCAGCTCAGCACGAAGTGCAGAGGGGAGGAAATCAGGAACAGTGGATGGGGCACTCAGACATCCCTGAAATCTTAAGGGAGGTGGAAATTCAGATACAAGCACTGAATTCAGGGACACCTCTTGGATCAAAATTAAAAAAAAAAAAAAAAAAAAAAAAAAAAAAGAAAACAAACTGAAAAATTGCAGAATCTGGTGTTCTGTTGAGGCTGGAATGAAAATACACATTTTTCCTACCTAGAGCCCCTTGCCAATCAGAAAGGATTAAGATACAAGCTGAGTTCAGTCGTTACTACCCCAGACTGATATTTTCATTATGCAGGTGTGTGTGTCATGCACATTCCCAGGGTTTCCAGTGAGGTCTGGCTGCCAGGCTCGGGGGTGCCAGCCCCACTTGCCCCACGTGTGGCCACTGCCCTGCGTGTCCCCAGCCAGGCTGGGCAGAGAGCACTGGCCTTCCTCTGCCTCCACAATTCTGGGGATACACGAATTCAAACAGCCCAGGGAAAGTGATGTTACCCAGGAATTCACAGCCCTGTGAACAATCCATGGATGGAGAACAATCTGTGGAAAAGACACCGTGCCTGGATTTGCTGGCCAGGCTCCTCTGCTGTAATCATTGGCAGATGGCAGAACCTGAGAGGATATGAAGTGCCTGAAGAGAAACCCACAAATTAGTAATAAATGACCAGTTGATATAACCCAACTGCCTTGAAAAACCCAACTGCACACTTTACTGTAGAGGTATAAAACACCTCTTTTTAATATAATAAAAATATAATTTTATTAACATTTTCTTAGTGCTTGCTTGTCCTATATTTGTACCTGTTTTACCCTTCTCTTCATATTCCCAAAGTTTTGCTTTAATTAAAGTAATTTAAGTAAAGTCTCAAATTCCCACCAAAATATGGAAAAGAGAACTGGGATGTTTCACTGTGGTATGTTGCAAGTTGTCATCAATCTTGTATTTATCTTGGAAGAAATTATTCAAAGTAATGAAACTCTTACATTTTGGCAAAGAAAATGAGATTGTCTGCAAAATAATGGAGTGTCAAAATGTTACACTGCCAGAAGTTGAAGGGAAGGGCACCAAAGCTCCTGCTTGGAGCTGATGAAAATCCCTCAAGTGTGGTTTAAACATAAACACTCACAAAACTTGGTCTTTCTCCTGAGGCTGCTTCTGCAATTTCTGTTATATGAACAATTATGGGATTCCAGCTTCCAATGGAAGTAGAATGGCTCCTTCTCTGCATGCTTAAAACTTGCTCAACAAGTCCAGTGGAGCCAAAGTGCTTTCCAGATTGACTTCAATTTAATTTGGATTGTAGCCTAAATTAAAACATGCAAAAAATTGCAAACCACTCTTCTTTTCTCCACATCCACTTTCTACATTGGTGTTCAAGCTGGGGCTGAATGTTTGACTCAATAGCTGTCCCCTATGAAAGAACTCTTCTCCAAAAAGCCCTAATGGCATGATTTTAAAAGGTTGATAATGTCATTCTGATGCTGGCAGCCTCACTGTTACCCTGAAGTTGGTAAAAATTAATCCTTTGCTTTACATCCATTTGTTCCTGCAATGTATAAATGAATGCTCATGCAGAATAAAGTAATTAAATGGCAACACACAGAACCCTGTGGTATAAAACCACTGCTAAGTTAAAACCTTTTACTATGCACCTACAAAAGATTAAAAGCGTTTCCTCACTTCAAGAACAGAAAGTGGGACATGGCTCAAAAAGGCAGAATTAAAGATAGAACTTGAGTTGAAGTCTTTCTCAACCAAGGGGACTTAAAACAACACGTTAGAAGGGTAAAATCCATTAAAAATGTAATGAAAGCTTTCAGCAAAAGTTTTAAGTATGATCTGAATACCTTGGGAATGAAAGAGAGATTAGTAGGATGTAGAAAGCCCTGTAAGTTATTCCATGTGCTCCTGCTACTTTTTGGCAACCAACATGATTAGCATCTATGCCATACTATTTCCAAGCTATTTTTATAAGTTTTATTACTATTTTTATTTTAAGTCTGCCAAAAAACGTTAGAAACTATCACCGTGCAGATCACTTAGCACTTTGCAATAATGAGATGATTTGCTGCAGTTAAACAAATGGATCTGTTATCTGACATCAAAATCAGAGTCAGAGCCCATGAACTGTGGGAATGAAAAACACCTGGCTTGGGCCAGAGCTCAATTTCACTTATTTCATACTGCTGCTGCTTGGCATTCATTCCATTGTTTGAGAACAGAGAACATTTAATTCCTTCCACAACACTCCTCACACTATCTGAATGCCTTTCTATCCACAGTGGGTTCATTTTCACAAGACTCTCAAAAAAGTAGAAAAAGCAACATTATCTTCAGTTCCCAGATGATGAATTGAATGTCTACCTACATATCTGAGTTCTAGGATAGCATCTTCCCCTGCAGGATTATCCTTCCCCTCAAAAATAATTTGTTATTAAAGGAGAAAGAGATAAAGTGAGCACGAAAAAGTGCATTGCACAGTTCTGTGGGGAACTAAATGCTATAAAAATTAGAATGATGTAGTGCTTTGGAGGGATTGTTGGGTGCTCTTAAAATCTGATCAGTCTTTTATGATTGTTATAAATTGCACTTATTCCACCTCCACTGTGTGCAGACACACAGAAATCACAGAGAAGAATAAAAACCCAAT